GCTTTCCTATGTGACCGGCTGAATGCGCGCGCAGCTAGCCGCATGGGAGGAGAAGAGGAGGATCGGAGGAGGAGAGCTCTCCGCCCAGCGCTGGAAAAAGGTAAGTTTTTACCCCCTTTCCCCCTTCCAGAGCCGGGCGGGAGGGGGACCCTGAGGGTGGGGGCACCCTCAGGGCACTATAGTGCCAGGAAAACAAGTATGTTTTCCTGGCACTATAGTGGTCCTTTAATGTTTGATATTGCATTTAGGCAAGCTCAGAGAACCAGAATCTCTAGGCAGTCATGGCAGTCTAAGCAGTCATGGCTATTTTCAAAGTATCTCAATGCAGCAGTAAGATTCTTTTTAATAAAGGATTACTATATTGTAACTAAACCCCGCCAAATGTTACTGATGTAGGATGCAATAAACGCTAAGATAGAAAAAAGTATTGGGGGAGATTTGCATTGGGGTATATCACTACCCCAATTAGAAGATTATAAGAGGGTTAGTTAGGGATACGTGGTGTATGGTTACAGTTGCAATACCCATTGTCCCGATCTAGAAAATTGGATTAAACATATGGTATTTAGTTGCAACTTGGTGAATGTGAATAGGCAAATCTATATAAGGATTTGTTGCTCCAGCAGTAAACTGCATGGTAAATAGCTTTCAATTCAAATAGCAAAATCTGAACAACAGGATTCTTTATAGCTACTGTTTGAAAATTAATGCTTTGACCTTTATACTTGCGTATGAATGTGGTAAATAATTCCAAGATTTTACTATTAACATGACGTAAAGTCATGATTTTATTGATGACAGGGAGGCGAGTATTCTGCTTCTCTTTCTTTAATTTCCCTCAGCAGCAAAGAGAGATGTATACAAAAAAGAGAGAAAAAAACAACATAACATTTGCATATTCACAGTGCTACCAATGGTATCCACCCCCTTAGTATATAAGGTGTAGCACTCCATCCTTCTTCCTCTTTCCGTAGCGATCCGAAGACCAGCTAATAACCAAAATGATAAACTTGAACCGGAACTGGAACCTCGAATAGTATCCATACATCCATTCTTTATGGGCAAACTGTAGAACTGTCTTCTAAACTTCAACACTTCAATACGAGTATTCAGGCTAAAATGAGAGGAGAAATATGGTAATATCTTGGTTGTCACGTGGTTGTAACATATACTTCAACAACGGCAGTTATTTGGACCTGGAGATAATCTCCATAGTCATGACGTCATCATACATGAAATACATAACACAAAACTATATCCAACATGATAAACAAACCTTATGGCTTACCTGAGCGAAAAAAGGGGTCAAGTATGAGAAACCTGAGTATATCGACACACTGGTCTACGACTGTCTGTCATGTGAATCGCAATAGTTCCACCCAGGGAGGGTGTGAGGGAATAATACTCGCCTCTGTGTCATTAATAAAATCATGATTTTATTAAAGACACGGAGGCTCCTATTATGCTCTTTTAAAGCTGAGCTATAATCCTTTCTGAGAAATGCTGGATAGGTTTAAAATAAAAATTCCGGAATGTGGATTCTGTAGACCAATCTGCGGCCCTCAAGATGTCTTCCAACCGACATCCTATTGCCGATGCCTTAGAGGCTATAGCGTCCCTGACAGAGTGGGATGAGAAGACCATGACATCTATCCTGGCCGAAGCCAATAACCACTTGACCCAACGAGCGAGAGTAGGTGTAGTTACAGGGAGATGCGGTTTCTTCAGCGAAATAAACAAAGGTCCATCATTCGACGAGCGTAGAGGTGCGAGATTCGTATTCTTTTAAGCACAGCATCGGGCATAGATTGGGTTGATTTCGAATTTTTGGGTAGAAGACCTGTTTAGTTGCTGACTTCGTTCTCTGCAAGATATCAAATGACACTCCTTCCGGAGTGAACACACGGGCCTGCCAGTCCAAAGCCCTCACGTCGGACACTCGCTTGCAGGATAGTAGGCAGAATAGCATAAGTAATTTAGCTGACAATTGTTTTAATGACAGTTCTGTGTTAGAGGACCATTCGTCTAGGAGCTTGAACACTACGTTGACGTCCCAAAAGGATCCATATCTAGGTTTAGGTGGGCATGAGAAACGAACACCCTTGAGCAGGCGACAGACCAAGGGGTTCTGTCCGAGTGGAAGTCCGTCTACGATATCATGACCTGCCGAGATGGCTGAACGGTACATGTTGACGGTACGGAAAGCCATGCCTGATTCAAATAGGTGTGTCAGGAAGTCTAGTCCTGTTTTTACAGAGGTTGATACAGGATCCACCGATCTCTCCAGGCACCAATTGGATCAATTCCTCTATGCCACAGCATATGAGCGCCATGTTCCCGGTGCCTAAGCATTTGCCAGGAGTTGGGTAGTCATTCTCGAAACCTCTGTGATTTCCGAGGGTCCCTGGAAAGGAGCCATGCCACGAGCATTAGGATTCATTGTTCTGTCAGGTTGTGATTCTCCCCATCCGGATTGGTTAGCAGGGAGGGTTGATCCGGAAGCAACCGTGGGCAATCGATCGCCATTTCCAGTAGGTGGGGGAACCAAGGTTGAGATCTCCAGCATGGTGTTATCAGGACCAACGTGCTCTTGTAGCGTCGGGTGTATGCCAGAGTCCGGACAATCAGGTTGAACGGAGGGAAGGTATATGCTCGTCCCTTGGTCCAGTCCTGGAGGAAGGCATTTGTTGCCATGGCTTCCGGGTCTGGTCGCCAGCTGAAAAACTGAGGAAGCTGTGTGTTCAATCTGGACGCAAAGAGATCCACACTCAAAGGTCCCCATAACTGAGCAATCTTGTAGAATGCCTTCGGTTAAAGTCTCCAATCCCCCAAGTCCCTCAGGTATCGGGAGTTCCAGTCCGTGGTGTAATTGTCCAGCCCCGGTATGTGTTCCGCGGTTACAGACACATTGTTCTGCAAACAATAATGCCAGAAGTCTCGAGCCAAGACTGCTAAGATGTGTGACTTTGTACCTCCCAGATGGTTTATGTACCTGACCGCCGAGACATTGTCCAACTTTAGGAGGATCGAGCATGAAATGCGCCTGGGTGAGAGGCTGCGGATGGCAAACGAGGCTGCCTGCAGTTCCAGTTAGTTTAAATGTAGGAACGATTCGTCTACTGACCATCTGCCTCCTGTGGATATGGAGCCGCAACGCACGCCCCAGCCATGTAAGCTTGTGTCCGACTCTATCACGAGATCCGGGGTGGAACTGAAGATTGCTCGTCCGTTCCACGCTTCCATGTGGGTTAACCACCAGTTCAGCTCTTCCCTGGACTCCTCGTCCAAAGTGACGTTGGTCTCGTATGACTGTCCGTTCCTTAGGCAGGATGCTTTCAGTCGTTGTAGCGCCCGATAGTGTAAGGTCCCGGGAAGATCGCTTGGATGGAGGCCACCAGTAATCCGATCACTCATGCCAATTGTCTCAGAGAAATGTCTGGGCGGTTCATTAAATGCCTTATTTCCTTTTTGATGTTGGACATCTTTTCTGCTGGGAGGCATAGAATTTGTCGGACGGAGTAGACTCGGAATCCCAGGAATTCCATCTGTTGAGAGGGTTGTAGCACCGATTTCTCCCAGTTCACCAGGAAACCGAGGTTCTTGAGGAGGTGAAGGGTCCATAAGTGGGTTAGCAGTAGGGATCGTGTCCCCAAGAGTATGAGGATATGCTCTATAGATATAAGACAAACTCCGTGTAACTTGAGAAAGGCAACCACTGGCTTCAGCACTTTTGTGAAACACCAGGAAGTGGAGGACAGTCCGAAAGGAAGGCAGGAGAAACTACTTTTCTTTGTGCCCCACCGGAATTGTACTAGATTCCTGTGATCCGGCGTTAACGGGATCGTGAGATACGCGTCCTGTAAATCGAGTTTTACCATCCAGTCTCCCGGGAGGAGCAGGTCTCGGATGCAGTGTATGCCCTCCATCTTGAAATGCCGGTACTGGACAAAGGCATTGAGAGGTCGCAGGTTGATAACTTGGCGGACACCTCTGCCTTTTTTCGGCACTCAGAATAGGTTGCTCACAAAACCTGGTGTATCTAGAGGGATTTCCTCTATAGCATTTTTGGTCTGCAGGACCATGATCTTCGCGGAGATGAGCTTGTGGTGTGACTTTGGCATGTGGAGCACACGTGGTGGGGAGACCTGAAAGACCCGTCAATTCTAGGTGGTAACCCTCTATAGTCTGTAACACCCAGCTGTCGGATGTGTTCATGGCCCAAGCTTGAGAGAACAAAGCCAATCTGCCCCCCACATTTATATGGGAAAAATGGGGAAAAATTGTACTCACCATAAAGGCGTTTTCCTGGGGATGTACCTCTGCCGCCGCGGGCATTCCAAGGCCTTCCTCGAGGGGGGAAGAATGGTGTATAGGAACGCTCATGGTTCGGTCTCTGAGTGGTGAAGGATCCTCTGCCCGGTCTGGAGAAACCCCGGGAGTTGCGGCCGGATAGACAGCTCCTACCTCTACCTGCCCCACCGAAAACCTTTTGGTTGAAGTCTCGTTTAATGGACGATTGGGCTTTGTCCAGAGTCGTGAAGGCTTTTACGTATGAGCCTAGGTCTTTTACGAAGGACTCACCGAGTAACAATCCTTTAGCTGAAGCCCCTGGTTCAGTGGATGCCATGCTAGCTAGTTTCGTTCGATCTTGAGCATAGGATAGCTTTCTGCGCTCAGTAGACATGGCTGTATTAGCGTTTCTGATCATAGAAACTATGCGTTGGAGCCAGCCAAACGCCACCTCAAAGTCCAACATTGCCTCACCCGACTGAGCTGCTTCAAGCAGTTCATAAAACTTTGTGACGGGACCCAGTGTGTCCAGGAACTTGTCCTGACAGTTACGGAGGGAATAATCTAGTCCCTTTTTTGGTTTCCAGCCGGTTTTAGCCAGGAATTGGACTATCTGTGGGTCCACTTCAGGGGTTTTTGCCACTGCATCTGGTATAATGGGTCGGGGGCATTCTGCTCTTATCTTGTTGCAACCCTCCTGGGAGAGGGATTTACGCACCCTGAGGGCTTAAATTATCCAGGTCAAACAAAGGTAACTCGTTGGTGTCGCAGGCAGTGTCTGTCCCGAGCACCTCTGGCTGTGCCGCATTAGTTGGTGCCGATGAGAACTGTTTTCCCTGGTGGCTCTCGCCTTCTGAGAACTCGTCCTCGTAAGGATCCGAGTAATGGTCGTCAGACCCCTCATTCCCCTCATTGTCTGAGTCAACCAGAATATCTTGGGCTCGCGCCCTTTTCCATTCTCTGGCCATCACAGAAAGCCTGCGGTGTGTGAATCAAGACAGGATTTACCTGTGCGGGGGGTCTTGAGAATGTTTGCGCTTGCTTAGCGCTTTGCGCTCTGGTGATGCCACTTCAGGCGTGACGGTGGGCTTGTCTGAGAGCTTGAGTAATGGATTGTAAAATGGTTGAGGACATAGCCCCCATGGCTGATGAGATGGCCTTAGTGATAGAGCTGGGCATAGTGGCATCCAGTAGGCTCTGGAAATCTTCTGAGCCTAAGAGGCCAGGTGTGTCCACTGAGGGACTAAGATGGCCAGGGAGGGTATCACTAGCAGACTGCATGGTGGCACAGTAGTGAGTGCAAGTAAGAAAAACAAATAAAGTGAAAAGTGCAGGATTGATTAACCCAAGCACAGGGTAGAGGTAATCAGAAAGGTTAATAAGAAAATATTTACAGATTACCTGGTCTCGAGTGTTACAGAGGAGTAGCGTCATGCTGACCGTGAAAACTCCGATACTAACGCAGCACGAGTGCTAAAACGGACGGCGACAGCAAACCAAAAAGATGGCCGCCGCGAGTGCACTGCACATGCGCGGCGCTCACGAGCGGCGAAAAGTGAAAGTAAACCACCGCGCGGCTGCAAGGACCGCCGGCGGGCATAAGAAAAGAGCCGGGGACGGAGAGAGGCAGAGAGAATATGCCCTCGCTGTCGATTCCCGGCTGGGTGAGAGTACAATAGTAAAATACAGGGAAACAGAAAGAATTCCCTCCCAGAGGAGGGGGGGGGGGTAAACAAACTGCCCTGCCAGGTAAGGCTGAGCAGAAAACGCTATGCACCCCTCTGGGTCCATGGGGGAAATGATATCAATGCAAACAATAGTAAGTAATCAAATAATATGTATTATAATAATAAACTATTGGGAGCAAGCAACGAAAACCCTAAGTCAGGGGTTCTCAACCCAGTCCTCGGGACCCCCTACCAGTCCAGGATTTGGGGATTATCTGGGTGTGTCTCACATGTTTAGAAAAAGGGAAAAAAACACCTTAGACTCTAAGGTGTTTTTTTTTTCTTTTTCTAAACACCTTAGACACACCCAGGTAATCCCTAAACCCTGGACTGGTAGGGGGTCCTGAGGACTAACGTTGAGAACCCCTGCCCTAAGTGAATAGGGATAACATACCTAGTCCCACAATAAATATATCAAATGCATGTAGGAAAATAATGCAGTTAGCTGGTCTAAGGGAGCAGCGAAGAAAGAGGAAGAAGGATGGAGTGCTACACCTTATATACTAAGGGGGTGGACACCATTGGTAGCATTGTGAATATGCAAATGTTATGTTGTTTTTTCTCTCTTTTTTGTATACATCTCTCTTCGCTGCTGAGGGAAATTAAAGAGAAGCATAACAGGAGCCTCCGTGTCTTTAATAAAATTGGGTATGCAGTCTCTTAACCAGTAAGGATATATTTGAACAAGCTCTATTCTGTTACCTAATAATTGTTAAAATTCACCGGTCTGTAGTCACTGTATGCTGAAACCGAGCCAAACCTAGCTTACCTGGCACCTGAGACAGATAAGTATGTTGGCATCCACCCCGAACTGAAGAATTTTTTTTTTCCATGCATGGAAGAGGAAATGCCAGGAATGGTCAAAATTTTTAGCACAGTCTTCTTTTGTCTTGTGTGAAGCTGCTTATAACAAACAAGGGAGGGATCCACACTCTCATCACCTGTAGACCTTCGGTGAACTGTGAATAGGGCTGGCAAACTCCTAATCCATATAGTGAGAACAAAGTAGTCCACGCACTCAAGGTCTTCATGCATCAGCAGATTTATTGGTAAAACATGACGAAGCAACGTTTTGATCCCTTATGGGATTAAAAATAATATGGGTTTAAAAATATCAGGAAGTATTACTTTACTGAGAGGGTAGTGGATGCATGGAATAACCTTCCAGCTGAAGTGGTAGAGGTTAACACAGTAAAGGAGTTTAAGCATGCGTGGGGTCGGCATAAGGCTATCCTAACTATAAGATAAGGCTAGGGACTAATGAAAGTATTTAGAAAATTGGGCAGACTAGATGGGCCGAATGGTTCTTATCTGCCGTCACATTCTATGTTTCTATGGGGATTAGCTAACACCACAGTGCACAAGCCACTAATATATAGGGTATCACATTAACAATCAATGCAAAGTCAATTAACAACCAATCAATATACAAAATGTGTGTATTATAAAAAATCAAGTGCACAATAACCCTTCAAGATATCATATTATATTGTGGCTCACAATCAGGGCAGGACTGGCCAACTGGAATACCAGGAAATTTCCCGGTGGGCCGGCATGCGGCCACCTAGTGCCCACTGTGCAATTACAGAGTAACCGGCAGGAGGGGACACGCTACCCTCCTGCCGGTCACAGAATGTAGCATGCCTGAGCAGGCAGACCTCAGTAGAGGAGCTTCCCCTACCCAGTCTGACAGGAAGTGCTCACAGAGAACACATAACTGCTTCCTGTCAGACCGGGTACAGTGAGCAGGAGCTCCTCCACCGAGCTGGGGGGGACTAATGGGATGCACGGGGGGCTGGGTGAAAACTGTGCAATTACATGACACAAGGGAGGCTGGGGGGAAACTGTGTATCATTAGTCCCCCCCCTGGCCACATGGGGTGGACACATGGGGCCTGGGGGGGGGACTAATGATACACATGGGGGTTGGGAGGAGGTATAGGGAAACATGAAGGGATGAGAGGGTGGTATAGGAACACATGGAGGGCTGGGAGGGGCTATAGGGACCTATGGAGGGACTTAGGGAGATAAGGCACATGGAGGTTTGGGGGGTTAATGAGACACATGAAGGGCTGGCGGAATGGATTGAGACACACAGAGGGCTGGGGGATAAATTGAGAAACATGGAGGTATGGGGGCTAATGAGACACATGTAAGGTGGGAGGGGCTGTAATGAGACACATGGTGGGCTGGGAGGTTGCTATAGGGACACATGGGGGGCTAATAAGACACATGGAGAGCTGTGGGTCTAATAAGACATATGGAGGGGCTAATAAGACACATGGAGGGACTGAGGGAGCTAATGAGACACATGGCGGTCTGGGGGGATGGATTGAGACACATGGATGTCTGGGGGGATGGATTTAGAAGCATGGAGGGGTGGCAAAGGTAATGATACACATGTAAGGCTGGAGAGGGTAAAATGAGACACATGGAGGGACACACAGTGAGGCTGGGAAGAAAAAAAACACAGAGGGATCTGGGGAGAAAGAGACAGAGGAGCTGTGAAAGTGGAACAGGAGACACACATAGGAGCTGTGAAACGGGCTGGGGGAGGGGGGGGGGAGAGACACAAACAAAATGCATCTTCACTTGTGTCTTTAGCTCTTCCTGTAATTTAGATTCAACCGGCGAGAGAAAGACTTCATATTAAAGGGACACTATAGTCACCAGAACTTCTACAGTTTAATGTAGTGGTTCTGGTGTCTATAGCCTGTCCATGTATGTTGAGCACTGTAAATGCTACCTTTTCAGAGAAAAGGCAGAGCTTACATTGCTGCCTAGCAACATCTCTAGTGACAGTCACTCAGACAGCCACTAGAGCTGCTTCCTAGTCCAATGCTGCACAGTGTGCAGCACCTATGGTGAGCATCTCTGCGCTCTGCATGGAGGCGCTAAACGCGAGGAGATGCTGATTGGTGCGATGAAGCACAGCGTTTTGCAACACATGCACAATAGCCTCCCAATGCTTTCCTATTGGAATTAAATTGGAGATTATCCAGTTATCAGTCAAAGTGAAGAACACACTCTTGTTACTTCAAAATAAGCAAGATAACGTAATTTTTTTTACTGCTGTGCAATAACATACATTCACAATTAAAGTCTGTGACAAACGCCCTGTGGTCTGGTCATTTGCCACCAGCTCCTGGAGGAGCCTGCTTGCCAGCCTCCTGCCTCAGAACTATGATCCCTGCAATATACCTTGCCCAATGCACTTTACAAGGCTCCGTTAATGTGATTTATGTACTTTTGTACTCCAGAAAGCGAGACCGACTGTTAGCCCTGATTCCCTGGAATTGTTTTGGGCATAGGACCATGTGCACAGTCGGTCAAATAATTGACCTTCATGAAAATCCCGAACCCCTGAACCAATCTGGGTGATTTTTGGATATGTTGGTCACCCAGATTGGGGCTCTTAGGGGATGTAACTTTTGTGGGGGGTTTTATGTGTTTTGAAGGTATTTTGGGTGTTTTGTAGAAATTCATGTTTTCTATGCCTGGAAGTAATTGAATTTAATACAATGCTTGACTCCATTATCTCCCAGGCACAGGGGAGGGAATGACCTATTTTGTATGGGAGTGTCCTGGACCTGATAGCCAATGTAATCGTGTGTATGTTCTTACTGTAGTCTACTCTCAGGTCCAGGGGTGAGTGCCCCTTGCATGGGGACCTGCATATAAGGCCAATTGTGGCTGCCATTAAAGAGATTCGTTTTACCCTTCATTAAGTCTAGACTCCTGTTTGGGGGATTGGAGAGCTATATTCACTCTGGGGATTGCTATAATCACTATAATCCCTTGGATCACAACACTTGCTCTTGTACGAGCAACCTGCTTCGTTCTCTGGACTAGGAGAGGTCTACCCACTGGAAGCTGGATCCTGGTCTTGGGTCCAGGGTGGGTGGAGGACAGTAAGACACCAACCAAGCTGTGGCAGTTTGTGGGGTTTACGGTGTTTATGGTGTTCCAGTGCGGTGCTTATGGTGCTCGCAAGTACTAGGAAGCAGCAATTTACAGAGGTACCCAGTTGGGGTACCAGGCGGTCCATCACACAGTCCAATTACGAAACTTTCCTTAATATGTCAAGGTAGTTGGACTGAAACATTGATTAACATAGAAACTTAGAATGTGACGAACCATAAGAACCATTCAGCCTATCTAGTCTGCCCAGTATTTCAAAATACTTTTAATTTGTCCCTGGCCTTATCTTAAGTCTAAGATAGCCTTATGCCTATCCCATGC